ATATATTTAAAGGGATAAACGTAATATCAAAGTGATATATGTTATATTAAAATTTAAAGGGACAAATATGCTATTTTCGAACTTTAGAAGAAAAGATATGTAAATTTTCTGATATAAGAGAGAGAGAGAGAGAGAGAGAGAGAGAGAGAGAGCACTGGGAAATGGCAGCGAACTAGTGATTGGATGGCCCAGGATTGAGCACGTCCTGTCAGAGATCACAGTGACATCCTTGATGGATTTCACTTGGCTGAGATTGTAGAGAGATCTGTAGAGAGAGGTATGAATCGGTGGTGGCGATCCAAGCAGTGCAGCTCTAATATCCGGGAGAAGAATCTTGTAAGTATGAGGTCAATATATTGAGAAGACCAGTGCTTGGCGCAGGGTGTGGACTACCATGTGATACGAATATTAACGCTGTTCGGAACATATGCGCATCCTGCTTGGCTGCGTTGTCGAGCCTTTTCATCGTCGGACATGTGATTTAATGCATGACTGACAGTTGATTCATTGGATGAGAATCCAGCATATATTGCTTTCGGATTTACGAATCTACTTTAATGTTTGTGAAGCTTTTGTCCTCAGTTTTTCGGATTCAGCTTCAAGCTCACTGTGCCCATTTCATCCACAGAACAAAGCCATGAAGAAAAAAGAAGATATTGTTCTTCCGTGGGGGAATCAAAACAACAAGGGACTCGGAGAAGAATATCTTTTAGGGTTTTCGATTGGCTTATGCTTCATTCTTTTCATTTTCCTTTCCTGGAGTTCATGTGGAAGAATGACAATGGCATATATCACGCACGGTAGATGTGTGCATGGTTGCAGACACTTGTCTTCATCTATTACTAGGACTTGAAAGTGTTCTATAGTAAGTAAAATATATTTATGAGAACAAATGAATATCTAAGGATTATGCTAATGGAGATTCTCGATCTGTTGGAGACATCAAATCAAATAATTTCATGGAATAGAAGAAGCATGGACACTTCTGCTAAGGACCATTCGTTTAGAATGTTGCGTTCAGAATATGCTTGTGATAGTAATCGTCAGGAGATAATGATAACTGAGAGCATATATGATACAACATGTACAGAGTTAGAAACCTAATCAAGGAAGAACAACAATACTGCAACCCATGGTAAGCTCATGACTTCTGCACAGAGTTCTCAGAAAAGGTTAACAACTTAAAGCTTTCACAGGGAAAAAAGTAGCAAAAGTTTGCTTGTATATCATCAACATGGTTGTGAATCAACGAAGCAATTGGCTCAAAAGATTATAAATGACTCATTGTCTCCTACCCTTTTTCTCATAGAATTTTCTGACTATGACAAATCATCCCATATGTATGAAATAAGTGAGAACCTATCACTTGAAAGATGAGGGCTAGAGAAAGAGATAGACTATGATTGAATCTTTAGATGCATGAATGTAGGTTATACATATATGATAAATAGTGATACTGCAAATCGTTGTTGTTCTTCCTCATGTATGATAATGAATGGCTACTAAAATTGCTTGAAGATAGTATAAAATTCATAAATGTCCCATCATCATCCTCAAGTTTGGAAAATATCTATCTTGTAGGTGGGAGGTCAATTTCTATTTCCAAATTTCTAGCCAAGACAAACTTGTTATATCTGTTTGATTTCCTCTCTTAGAGATCGTGTAAATATAGATCTTTGTGGTCTCCCAAGAGTTCATTGGATGAGCTTCTTAACCTAACTTGTATATGTAGTTATATGTTATATGTGGATCTAACAAGTTCAAGATCTATGCCACTTTAAATGGCTTATCAATGAAAAGGAGTGACAAAAAGAATGCCTATAGAAAGGTGAAGAACATGAAAGATCAGTGGAGTGCCCAAAAAACCTCAAAAAGAGATAATATAGATCTACTTCTGAAGATACAAGAGGAAAATATATATATAACATCACCTATACTAATAATTTTCTTTAAAAGTAGAGCCCATTTTAGCTTTATATTTATTCCATTACAATATCAAGGCTTACTAAAAGAATGAATTATTTCTTGAGGCCTTCATCTAGCTGTCGTAGGTTTTGACATGCGTACCCCATCAGTGTTTGTCTGCACACATATCTTCTCCACCTTGTTGTGCATGAGAAAGAGAGTATGGACTTTTGTTGTTGGACAATCTACTTTTCACCATTACTACGATGTAAACTTGCCTGCTACATTCCTTTATTACCCTTCCTGAGAAGGACCACTTCCTTTTTGCTTCCTTCTTCCCTTTCTTTCACCATCTCCAAGTATTGTACAATGCTGCTTTTGCTCACTTTACTGCAGATTACTCCCATTACTGTGGGGTAGTTGGCCTTGTACATTGGCCATGTGAAGAAGAATATCTTCCTTCATGCAAGTTGACAAGTTTCAAGTCTTTATTGGGCACCATATCATTTGATTTCCAGTGACCTTTCTTGGTTGTTCTACAGCATTTAAAAGAGAGGAAGAACATTCTCTCCATGTGAAACTTCTGGTGTAGTGTTATGCTAAAAATCCATCCAACTCATAGAGGCCTCTGAAATGTCAGTGGTTAAAGGTTGATAGATTTTTACTTTTGCTTCCACTACCTTCTGTCATGATTGAAGCTGAAGAAATTTGAGGTACATAGACAATTAAAGTAAGTTAGTCCTAACAGTGAACTAAACCAAAATACTGCTACAAGTTGGTAGTAGTCACCCTTAACATTGGGGCATTTCGGATAGGGATGCCTCGTAAACTATCTATTGTTCATGCATGAGCATCAATGGCAGGTTTGCTAAAAGAATTCTAACCAGCTGAAGAGTTCAGAGAACAAAACGACAGTGTTTGATGTATCTAAAAGAGAGCTCCACATGGAGACATGTTGGTCTTGCGGTTGTTCTTTCACTTTAGGTGGTCATGTCTGAGCTCAGGAAGCCAATGCTTAACTGCTTAAATAAAATGCAACTTGAATCAAGAACATCTTCTCCATAGCATACTAATGCTCATCTGGTTCTTACAGTTGTGTTTGAGTTCAAGAAGCTGACACTTAAAACTCCTCTGATGAAGCACAACTCAGACATTCCAATCCATCATCATGAGAGGCAATTGAATATTGTATTTAAAGTGGGGTTCCAAGGAATCTTAACCCATCACTTCATCCACTGAAAGTATTCACATGCTAATAGATAGATAGATAGAGAGAGAGAGAGAGTCACTTGCATTCCAATTTGAGGTAAGCAGCCTCTGCACCTAGACAAGGTCATGGGGAGCAGACCTGAAAGAAGCACTGAGATACAAGTTATGGTCCAAAGGAAATACACAGAACTGATGAGATATGACTGATTGATGGACTCTTTGTTCTATGTTCTCTGCGGCTGAAGAGATCAGTGCGCAGCGGATGCCAACAGTTCAATATGGAATCCTCAAGCCCCAGGTTTACTTGAACTCCTTTGCCCAAACCACCACCACCACTACCACATCCCTTACAAGCATTGCCAAGGAACATAAAAGTGGATGCCAATCAACCATAGATTAATTAGACTGAATCCAACAGTCTTTATGTTACTATCACATACCAAGTAAGAGTCAACTCAAGCCAAACCAGCTATCCCAGATCTTTGATTAGGCACAAGATCATAATTATCAATCATAGTACAGATAAGTAGGATCAGCTTATATTTGCTCTCTTTACCAAACCAATTCAGGATATTCACACCACAGAAAGATCTGTACCTAAGAATCACATTTACATGTAGAAGTGATCAGAAATTATTCACTGTATAGAACACATTAACTATCAGTTCTGAGAACCCACCAGTGTCACATCACACACCTATGTGATGATAATTACTTGTGTGTCAACAGTGCAATTATCAGTGGGAGCATTGGATGCCAGTAGCATCTTCCTTTCGGAAATGGTTGAGAAGGCCCGAGTTAGTGGTGTCACCTATACCTCCATTGTTGAGACATCCATAGACTACAGCACTTGCATTACTTCCGTGCATCATCAATGGTGAATTGAGAAATTGAAGTTAGTGAACAATCTTAAACCTTTAGGATTAGGATTCTAAACTTCATCTTTGTAGTTTTCCAAAGGAAACAGTCAAAGCTTAGCTTTTCAGATATCATCAAAATTTCTGAAGCAGTATGACTATATCTATCTGTCCAATTCAATCGATTAGATACTGCTTGAACTCAAAATTTTCAGAATCGAAAAGCTCAGTCTCATCTTCTTTTTCTCTCGCAAAAACTTGGCTGCAAAAACTAGCTTTTTGATCGTATAAACCCAGAGGCTGTTCTTAGCTCAATTCTAAAAGCTCTGCGACCATTACATTGCAGCAGATAATGTTGCGGTCCCAAGTGAAATAGGAAGAGCTTCCTTCCAAGCAAATCAAAACGCCAGCACATATGAACTGTTCTTTAGATTTCTCCACAGTAACCACAACATGCTTCCGCAAGGGAATACAAATCAAAGAGCCACCATGAAACTCGCACAAGTTTTTCCCTTTATTAAACTAAAAAATTACTACAACCCTCAAAATTAAATTGGATATCATTTTTAGTGCATGGAAATTAAAGTTTTTCGAAGTTAAATTCCTTGCAAATTCAAATAATATTCAAAATTAATTCATATTGGAAAATGTTTTGTAATATATTTTTATCAGATACTTATAATCCGATTAAATGTTCAACACCTTTGATGTGATCGAATTATCTTCCCAACACCGTATTAATATTGATTGTAAATACAAATATAAAAAAATATTTTATCGCATTTTTGTTTGCTTTGATTCCAAAAAAGACAAATGAACCGGACCGGAATCTGCGCTAAATTTGGCCCGGTCCGAATTCCGTACGTGGTGAACCGCTAGTAAAACCTTACAGGGGGTATTTTGGGAAGGAGAGGATTATTGTTCGTCATTGCCATTCCTGTGTTGCAACGAGAGTTCCACTACGAGGGAGAGGATCGATGGCGAGGAGGGCGGAGGAGGAGTACGATTACCTGTTCAAGGTGGTGTTGATCGGGGATTCTGGGGTGGGGAAGTCGAACATCCTGTCCCGCTTCACTCGCAACGAGTTCTGCCTCGAGACCAAATCCACCCTCGGCGTCGAATTCGCCACCCGTACTCTCCAAGTCAGTCGTCAACGGGATCTCCTCCTCTGTCGTCCTTTACACCTCGACTGGGTTTACTCTTTTCCTGTTTCCTCGATCAGAGATTTGTTTGCGTCATATTTTCGCTGGAACTTCTTTTGCCTTGATGAACTCTCCTGTGATTTCCTCGACGAGGTCTCTCGATTTAAAGAAAAAGAGGCAGCTAAAAATTAGATTTTGTGTGGCTTGATATGTTTCTTCACGTTTCATTTGTTTCAGATGTACGATCTTATTTGATCACGAAACCTGCAACTGTTTGCTCTTCTTCGGGTGTTGCAGATACTTTCTAATTCAACCGTTTCACTCGATGTTGTCGATCGTCGTTGTTCCTTGGGCGGTGTGGAACATGGATTGGGAATTTGAAGTTCATCCACTAAGCTCTCACGTATTTTCCCTCGAATGTTGTATCATCTATGGCGTAATTTGGTTGGGCATCTACTGGTGATTTCAATGCGAGATTTCTACTTGTTTTCTTCTAAGATTTTTGCAAGCACAAAGAATCCATGTGTCTCTATATAAATTCTTCTGAATTCTTACTCCAACGAGTGCACGATGAAGAGTATGAATGTCTGTCACAGGCAAAGGATCAGTATGCATCTTAGATGCCAATAATCTCTCCTTTTTTTTCTCTGTTCTCATTCATATAGAATCCTTTTCTCTTCATGCTCTTCCTTTTCTAGGTAGAAGGCCGAATAATAAAAGCACAGATTTGGGACACAGCAGGCCAAGAGCGATACCGAGCAATAACTAGCGCCTACTACCGGGGAGCTCTCGGAGCAATCCTAGTGTTCGATGTGACCAAGCCGACGACTTTTGAGAACGCAAGCCGGTGGCTCAGGGAGCTTCGTGACCATGCTGACTCCAACATCGTGGTTATGCTTATTGGCAACAAGACCGACCTCGAGCACCTTCGAGCGGTGGACTCGGAGGAGGCCCAGAGCTTCGCTGAGAGAGAGGGGCTTTCGTTTCTTGAGACATCTGCCTTGGAGGCTACAAATGTGGAGAAGGCCTTCCGAGTTATCCTTGCTGAGATATATCGAGTAATCAGCAAGAAGAACATCTCTTCCGAGGCGCCTGCGCAAGGACCCGCAGGGGGTATGAGAGAAGGCAAGGCCATCACGATCGCAGCATCAGACTCCAGCACAAGCAGGCAATGTTGCTCAACGTAGTGGTATTATGCGCTCAGAGTTTCTACAGTCTGCTTTTGCTTGATGTAAATCCAGTCAGCTGCTTGCTAGAGTGATTTCCTTCTTGTTGATGCTCAATATATTTGCTTTCAGTCTCTTTGTTACTACATGGATGGAATTGCTTGGTTTTCCATCATAACAGCAACCATAAAAGGTTTAAATTTGTACCTATGAATGCTTTGAAAGATATGATTCTATTATTGTATATTAAATGTTGTTTAATTAGTTCAATATTCAGTTTATGAATGGCACTCAGATCAAGTTTGGTTTTCCAAATGTCCTGAATGCAGCAACTCTCACTCAAACAATCTGTGGTGTGATCCTTGTGATGGAGGCATGGATTATCAAAATATAAACAGTAGAGAGAACACAAGTCATTTAGGATCTTCCAACATTTAATATTGATGTATGCTGATTTAGTTGCTTGATTGTCCAAACTGATGTCACATTTCTTCCAAACAAGATGCACAGGTATAACAGGATTAACTGCAACAGCTGCTCTTCTGCTGAATAGGTTGGCCTTTCATCTGGACAGTGGTAGATGGTGCTCTCTGTGCACTGTGTTGGTTTCCCATTCTGCTATAGGAGTAACGGATATAAATGTTAGCTACTATGGACTAAATAGACTACTATTTGAGAACTGTATGAATTAAGAAACAGATGATGACATGGTGTAAGAGTAAATGTTTGATATACTATATGGCATAAGAGTAAATACTTCCATGAATTTCTCCAAGAACATGACACTTCGTGGTGTCATTTATATGTACAAGAATTAGAAAAGCTCAAATTATTAGCTCCAAAATTGTGATAAGACAAACAAGCCAACCAGAAGATGTGGAAAGGACTGCAGCAGCAGTTAATAAAGATGAGTCAGTAATTTTAACCTTTTCTTTATTTCAGCACACATGGTTAAGAAAGCCTTCTCCACATTGATTGAATCCTTTGCACTTGTCTCAATAAAAGGAATACAAAGTGAATCTGCAAATGCCTGCATTACATCATGTATTCAAATAAGGCATCCAGGGTTCAAACTTGTTGGCCATGTCATCGATCAATTTTTGCTGCCCCTTATGTTTATAAATCAATGCTGTCTTAACAATAATGATCTAAAGTTCTTTAACCCATAGGTCACCATCAGAATGTTTGAAGAAGAGAAATAAAACCGAAGCTGAAACTCCGCTACTCCGGTACATATATGGAATAATGGATCTCAGCTGAACTACACATACAAAATTCCAATTTCATTAATACTTGCTTATAAAGTCGCATTTTCTTTGTATCCTCTGTAAATATACTAGAAATGATTGTCATTTTCTGGTTTTGGTTTTTAACTTTTAGGCACTGCAACAGTATGATAGACCAAATTCAGAAGTAGAACACTTATTTGTTAAAAATAGTAGATATCATTACCTTTGCCTTTTCCATTTCCACAACTCTGTTCTCAACTAAATCACATTTGTTTCCAACAAGAAGCTTGCACACACTATCGTTAGCATATCTGTCAATCTCACTTAGCCACTGCCTGATATTGTCGAAACTTTCCATCTCTGTAATGTCATAAACAATCTGGAGGAAGCCTTCAGACATCAGATGTAAGTAAATCATTATCCCCAATGCATTTTAAAGATTAAGTGAAGAAATAAAATCTTCTTTAGATTAACCCAAGAAATTCTAAGTGCCAATAGCCACTTCCTATGCCTTTTCAAGTTTGAGAGATTCCAAAGTCTGACAGATAATTCAGGTATCTTATTAAACCATCCCTAGCATAAGCAAGTATCATAGTGCCCTATATTGGCAGCAAAAGGAAACAAGCAATGAACTTTCCACATGTTATGTGTGTGTTCTTTGCAATTCTAAACTAAAAGTCAAAAACTACCTAACGGTGGCTTAATACTTGATTCCATGGCTAGGTTCTCTATGACGAGAAGAAGAAAAACATGTGAAGGAAATTGAGTTAGTAAGAAGAATCCGATTATAAGTAGTCATTTAAGTATCTGAAGCAAACACAAACAAGGATAAAGACATGGCTATTACAACTTAACCGGAAAAGTAACTACTTAGGGGAAAAAACTCTTACAATGATGCCATGCGCTCCACAATAGTAACTGCTTGTTATGGTCCTGAACCGCTCCTGTCCTGCTGTGTCCCACTACAAGCAAACATGATTATTGCCTTAATTGAGCATTCTAGACTCCAATGCAAGTGGGCATATGAATTCTTCTATTGCTTCAAGTGATTCTAAATTAGAGAATGATCAAGGATGGGTTCATATCGACCGTTCACAAAATACTTCTGCTCATAATCTTGCCAATGCTGCAAGATCTCTTGTTCCTCCTCATCAGAGGAGATAGCTTTACTTTCAGATATCTCTGATCCTGGGTGATTTTTAATAAAATTTTCGTTTTCAAAAAAAAAATAGAGAGTGATCACAGTTCAGCATAAACTAAAGTCAAAGCCATTAAAATGCATGATTTAAAGTCTTCCTTTTAAATTTTGCTTCAAGGCCCACCTTGACCATATATATTAAATCATCACATGTAACAAATGCAATTTCTGCACTAGGTGAAAACATAAGAAGCATTATTAGTAATTCATGTGCTCAGAGATTACACTTCACTTCTGAGGTTCTAAGCTGATAAAGAAATCTTTATTTTCAGCTACCTCCTCAACCCATTCGTATTTTTAATGGTAACGATATTCATCAACATTTTTTATATTCATAATGGCAGAGGCCAATTTGAGAGAGAAAATAACTGCAGGTAGGTCAAGTTATAGTTGAAAATCCATGATACTTGAGCTACCTGCATTAGATTTTGGCTTCTCCAATGTCTACTAGAACTCATAGTTGTTGTGATGAATAATAAACACAAGTGCAATGTCTCACTTGAGTGTATACATTTGCTGTAATAAGAACCACAACTTAAATCAGCCCTCTCATTAAATTGGAAGACAAAACTCACCAAATGGAGTCTGTGTGCATAACAGGGTAAAGTAAATCATAAGGTGCTCATAGGTTGCTTATATCTGCCACCAAGTATAACAATGCAAGAAATGGATATATAGTATAATGCAATTGCACTACAATCACAGCCCGACGAATCAGTGGCTTTCAGACTGCAATTACCCACCTAATCTATCAGTTATATCCAAATATAAGATGCATTAAAGTATCCAAAAACCATTTCTCCAAGTCCTCCAACATCTTAAGATCACACACTATCATTACCAAACAGGCGAATTCAAGCGAAAAATGATCTAACTTCTCCAATCGAAAAAAAATGAAATTTTATTAAATGATTTCGATAAGACTCACAATTTGCAGCTTGACTGTTTTTCCATCCAGCTCCACCGTACGAATTTTCTGCGACAAGATGATTGAACAAAAGAGCACGGAATCGATTACATTAGGGAAAAAAACAGATTTTGATGCAAGTTCCCCGGAAGATACACAAGACACTTACGAAATCAACACCAATGGTGCTGATGTAGCTATCAACGTACGAATCATCCTGAGAAGAAAATACCCAAAGACCATCAGCATCAATAGAAACATATACGCACAGCAAGCTACTAAACGAAAGACCACATTTTTTTAGCATAAAAAGAGACCAACAAACCCTGGATTTAGAATGATATGGAAACATCCAGGCTAAACTCACCGCGAATCTGAGGAGGAGGCAGGACTTCCCGACGGAGGAGTCTCCGATCAAGAGAAGCTTGAAGAGGTAATCACTACGGCGAAGCAGATGGCAACGATCCATCAGGAAATCCAAGAACAACAAAAAAAACAATAGAATCGACGGAGGAGAACAATGGACGACCAAGAGATAGATGGATGGAGATCTTACTATTCATTACTCATACCCCCGGATTCCAGATAGGAACCAACACTTCTTCTCCCGTGATCGACGGATGAGTAGAGTTCCGAAGCGATGGAGTAGGAAGGAGGGGGGAAAGGAACCGGCAGCAGAGAAGCCGACGAAAAGGGTCTCGACTTTATCCTTCGAACGCGTCTTCCTACTTGCTTTTGGCCCACCCGAATCGTACATCAGATCTTTTGGTTGCGTCCCACGTTGACCAGCTTCCTCTTGCTGGGTGTAACACCGAGCTTTTACGGAGAGAAGGCAATCAAAGAATGCAAATCGACCCTGACGTGCCAGAAGTTACTGACGAAAGTTTGTCAACGGTTGACTGAAGTCAAAAGTTCTAGTTGACATTGTGTTCTTCGGGTACACGTAGTTGGGTAAGTCCATTTTAATTCTTATAATTTTGATCATAATTTTTTTAATTTTTTTATTTACTTATATCTAAAATATTTTTTTTATATTTTTAAAATATATTATATAAATTCTTAGTTAATAAATAATAAAATATATTTTTATGATATATTGACTCATAATAAATTGTTAGTATAATGATATATGTAATTTAAATAAAAAAAAATAAAGATTTAAGAGTAGAAGCAACCAGTAGCAATAGCACCGAACTGTTACTACTTAGTAGGGCATCATACGTATGCAGTATTTCTCATATTGACGACGAGCTTAGGAGTTTTCGATGCCTGGCTAGGCAATAGCGTTACAATGCTATTACTGATGATCGCATCCATGATGACATCTCTTTTTCGTTATTGACAAAGGTATCAATTTTTTTAAAATTAAATTATATATATCATTATATTAATGATTTATTATGAGTTAACATACTATGTAAATAAATTTTAACGTCTATTAACTTAAACATGACGAAAAAAACTTATATACTATATTTTCTCTAAATATATAAGTTATTTTATATATGAATAAATCATAGAGATTTAAGAGATTTATAATCAAAATCATATAAACTAAAAACCTTAACCTCCTTGTCGTTCTTATGCTACTCAATAAATCGAACCATGTTAAACTATTCCACCGGATATATAGCTTTTGGATTAAAAGAACTCATGCATGCAGCAGCTCTAGCGTTCTCTTGATCTTTGTGATACCGAGTCAAGAAGGGCAATTAGGTTGTTGGAGTAGCCTAACAGGAGATTCAAGGAATGCATGGTCCCTCCTTCAATATTGTCGATGGAACGGTAAGAGAACGTCCCGTTCACTTCTTTAAGCACTTCCCGCTCCCATACACAGCCTTTCCTCGGTTTCCCAGCGAACAGTGTGTGTGTCAAAGACCGAGGGATCAACTTGAAGCAATGCGCTTCAAACTCTACCTTCTTGTGGGGTTTAAGCTGCTGCTGCTACTGTTCATGGCCTTTGGCAAAGGAGTGGCAGCTCAGGTGGAGGAGGCAACCAACTCCACCAGCTCTCCGTGGCTCAGAGGGCGAAGGTCGCTGAGACGCCATGGCTGCTGGTACCAGCCATGGATCTGCTTGGAGCGCCTGCGGCCTTTCGAGCGAAGAATGTGCTGCAGGAACCGGTGCGTCGACACCGGCGCCGACGCCAACAACTGCGGCCTCTGCGGCATCCGCTGCCCGTTCCGGCGGTGGTGCTGCAATGGCTTGTGCATCGACGTCATGGCAAACCCACTGCGGCAACCGGTGCCAGCCTGGCCACCGTTGCCGGTACGGCCTGTGTGACTCTGCCGCCACTCCCACCTCTGCCGCCGTTTCGTTGCCCGTACCCACCGAGCCACCCTAAAACACCGCCGTCCGTAGGTGCTTCGGCCGGAGCCTCGGCGTAGTGGAGATGCTCAGTCATTCGTTTATACGATGACCGTGTCACATACAATGGTGATCAGCTGACACAGTATAAATCATTTGACGCCTTTCAATTTTTTTGGAGACGGTGTTGCTAAAACAATATTGTGGTAGATTACGAGAATGCAATTGCTGAACAGATGTCCATATCATTGAAAGGTAGTGATTGATTCCTCGGATAAAAAGTCAATTAAACTTCCTTGTTATAATCAAGTGAATCTAAGAAACATGCCTGTGCATAACATATGCTAAGAGTTTTAAATACATGGAGCACAAGGGACTATATTCAGATACACATTCTACATACATTTGTATTTTACATATCCAGGGTGAAAGAGGAGACTTCTATCAGAGCCTATCAGCAAGTTGTGGAAATTGCTGAAGTATCCATGATACTCCCTGGATAATTACCTGCATGATGATATAGACATGAGAATTTGTTAAAGGTATGATGAAAAGAGAACCATGTCATAGAAAATCCAAGGATTTCACATGACTTATTCATGGATTAACTGGTTCAGTCCACAGCTTAAATTTCAGGCAATATGCAAAATGGAGCACTGGCAAGTATCTCAAGGTTCACCATCCACCTTTATCCCTGCCTCATGCTCCACCATAGTAGTGTTACTATGGAGTAAAGTGTTAGAACATATTTTGGTGGCTGGCCAGCACAACTGGCAACAGACCTCCTTTCTTTTGTTTCATCTGGACCATGAAAACCTATAAAAAAGGGAGAGGCTGATGACAGATTAACATGATGCAACTATCATATTCTAGTTATAAAAGCTAACAGTTCACTCTGGCGCAATTCAACTAATGCATGAAATAAATTAATACTCTGCAATACTGAGAGAGTTCAAGCAAAAATTCATAATGTATGATGCATATGCCCATACCAATGCTGAATCCCCAGGCTTGGCAGCAGGCTCCACACAATCTCTCCCATAGCTGTATTTAGAATAAAAAAGAAGCAATTGGTCAGAGAACATGACAAATTATAAGCAGACATCCATGAGTGATGATTCAATGTCATGAAAATATCATATCATCCAACTTTTATTAGTTGCCACAGTGTGTATATTACAAATATTAGGTAGCCAGAAACTATGATCATAATAAGGAAGTTTAGGGTTTAGGGTTTATGACCATGCAGTCTTACTGAAAAGTACGTGCACTATCTGTCTCTGCATTAGTCTCACAGATAGCAAAGGGGAAAAACAGAAAATACTACTAATATCGTATCTTAAAAAGGAGACTGAAACAATATAAAAGAATGCATAAGGCAATTTGTTAAGCAATAGCTGTTGCCTTGGATATGTATGTTATATTCAATTTGCATCATATCTTACTTCTAGCTTCTCATACATTGATGTTATGAACCATGAAGATACCTAATTTGAGTGCACCTTCCGGTTTAAGCTTACTTCTAGCTTCTCATATCCTACTTTCAAGCATAACTGATTCTTACAGAAAGGGACGTACACTATCTGTCTCTTGCCCTCCCGAAACTGCAAACTGTAGAAGCTGCACCCTTTGCTAAATGGGAAAGGCCTGCCCCGCCATTCTGCACGTGTGACAAATTCACTTAACATAGCATATTATGTTTCCCAAACTTCTTCAGTTACAAACACTAACTATGACGTACCCAAGTGCCATGTAACTCCAACAGCCGATGAATCTTCGTTAGATATGTCATCGATAACAAACTGAAGGTCAGCACTGACCGATTCTGTGAACTTTTTGAAGAAGTCGAGAATTGCCTGTATCATTATACTGATATATATCAGAATTTTACAATAAATAAGTATCAATAATCCAACCTAATTAAAGTTCACATGTCTAAATCTGCATATGCAATGTAAACCTTTTAACTCAACATGAGCACAATATTTCTAACAGACATTAAAAATTTTAAATTAATTGCTTAATATTTAACCAAAACTCTATAAGACATGAAAAATTAAGTACAAACATCGAAGAAACATGCACCACAATTGAATAAACTGTAGAAAGGTGGGGAAGAAAGTAGCAAGGAGTTGTAAGCATGCTCAAAAAGAATTAAGGAAGCCCTGCAGGCAAGAGGAACTTGTGTAAGATAGTCCATAAAATGTTGAGAAACAGCTACCACAACATAGAGAATGCATTAGGTATCACAAGGAATGCAATCACAACAAAAGTCAACCTCAAAAGAAAACTTAGCTTCCACCCCTAACTATCTAGGGTTTTTGTTAACTTCCTCAGAAAATCAAGGCATTAATAAGTACAAAACTTTGGCCCATTACACTAAAGTGGTCAATTAAAACAAACGAGTACCAAGAGGCTAATAGAAAGCACGGCCCTTTTTATTTTGCAAGAATATGATAAAGGGCATCTTAGCCATCTAATAGAAAAAAGAGAATGAAACAGAGGAAAAAAAGAAGAGATGGATTAGATAAAATATTTCTAGGAGGGAAAAACTAAAGAAGAAAAGGTAGAGTGTTGCTAGATAAAAACAGGGATCAGATTCATATCTCATGGAATAAAGATGCCCTCATGTAAATTAAAGATGTGTTTCATTGCCCACACCCTTTATGTGGACTTCTTCGACGTCATCTCCAAATAAAAGTCTTTAATTTCCATTTAATAGTCGACAATCAAAGGTGAGACATCTTCGAGGGTAATGAATCCATCGCAGTAAACCATTCTTCTTATCGATGATAAGTGGCATACTTGTCATGCAAAAGCCTACAGATTGAAGGTTAATTTCACCATGTCTAACAATTCTTGCCTTACCTTGCGTCCAACAAAAGGTCGGGGAAAGACCAGATCCTCGTAGACACAATCCTCTGAGATCAGCGGCTCGACGGCTGAAAGATCCCGGCGATTAATTCCGTCGTAGAACTCCCTCACCACATCGGCCGCCGTCGAGACTTTCACAAGAGCATCCTCGGTGGTCTGCACCTCGGCAGCAGCCCGTATGATTGGGGCCGTCGCCGGGGCTCGCGAAATCCTCGAACCCGATCGAAATAGGGGACCAGCCGAAGACGGAGAAGTGGTGGAGGGTCCTCTTCGCCCCTCTTTGGAAACCCTAGCTAGGTTATTTACGGGAATTAGAGTCGGAATGGCTCCGAAATGGAGCGCGGTGGCAACCATCTTCGAGCGACAAACTGCCCCCACCGGTATGCACCGATGAACAACACATGCCCTCTTCTCGGTGATGCCTTACACACCTCAATTATTTTAATTTTTTAAAATTATAATATATAAAATTAAGAACGATTTTTCGAAAAATGAAATCTTTTTTTTTTATATAGATTTTTCCTCAAGATTCCGTCCGGTTCAGTCCGTGTGGTTCGGTCCGTCACAACCGGTTCGTGTGGCCCAACCCGCAGGACTTATTCCGCGAGGCAAAATTAGATTGCTCGATAACTACCGTTCTCAAACGACTTCCCGCCAAGAACAGCAGAGAACGCGTCATGCGGGTTGACCGAGTCTCCGCCATGGGCTCCGCGGGAGGCCGGGGTCAACGGTCCTCCCATGTCGGAATGCCTCGATGAGGCAGCTTCCGATGGCCATGCCATACTCTCCTCCGCACATTTCGTCTTCTGGAGCCCCAAGTCCTCGCCGATCCGAAGCGGATTCTTCGTACCGAGCCGTAGAAACGCTCCTCCGCAGTAGCACCTGCTTCCACGTTAGTCGGTGGCCGACGCCGGTGGAGGCGTTCTGCTGTTCTACGTGTAGATCATGTTAGCAGTGGGAAATGAAAGTGGTCTAATTTTTCAGCATCAATAATAACAATTATTATTATTATTATTATTATTATTATTATTATTATTATTATTATTATTATAAAATAGCAAATCCAATTGGAGTCTTCAAATCAAACTGAACTGATTTGAATTCACTATCCTAAGCTCTAAACTGGTTCTTACCGATTAATTAAGCTTGTTCAAATATTTAATTTTACAAATAATATGAGTTTAATTTTATAAATATTATTATATCACCCAAATTAATAAAATATATTTAATATATATATATATTATTTAAAATTATAAACTAATTAACTGAATCAAATATATCTATGATTCAGATTGATTTGACTCGTTTAGGTTAGAACTAGTTTGGAACGGGATACCTAAAGAATCGCTGATCCTGCCAATTTCGGCGTATGACCGATTCCTTTGCATATAAAGCTTTCCACCCCTCGCCAACCATCACCACCCAATCATAGCAACAACAACAAGACTCTTCGTTTCCCCAACCTCCTTGTCCATCTAAACCTGGCGATTAGCCTTAAGAATAGGAGACCTTTGACCTCGAACCTCAGGATGGAATAGATACTATAATCCGTTTCACAATCAAATCCCATAACGAGAAGCGCGAGCTAGAGATAGAGAGAGGGAGAGGGAGAGGGAGAGGGAGAGGGAGAGCAGAGGGTGGAGGAGAGGCCCAAAGCAATGGTTGATCCAGATAAGTTCCGGTACTCCTTGTGTTCTCGTGGGCGCCTGCTCCAGGTGCTCAGGAAGTACTTCTCCATCGTTCCGTGCTCCAGTTCTCCTCGCCGCACCTTCCCGGCTCCAGCTTTCTCGTGGAAGAGGGTGGCCGAGCTGCCCGTTGCGGCCAACAAGAGGCCCAACGTGTCCTCCGACCGTAAGGTCCACCCCGTTGAGGATGAGATTACCGGGCTGTTGGTTTCCGGCACCGACGGTGGTGTCGTTTTGATCTCGAGCGAATGCAAACAACCAGATTCCGTAGTCGAACACGCCTCGTCTCTTTCCAAGGTGGGCGTGAAAGAAGAGAAGGTGCAGGAGAACAAAGAGCGTGAGGAGAAGTCCGATCCCCCGGTGATGAGAGTTGTGGAGAGTACGCTACCGAAGACGAGAAGAAGACCGGCGAGGATTGTGATACCGAAGCCTTCGGCTGATACAGCTTTTAGTGTTGTGGGTGGGGAGCAGGATGGGATTCGAACGGAATCGGAAGCCGAGGGTAGTGCTTACTGCGTGGTCAGTCGGAGAGGACAGAGGCACAGGATGGAAGATGGGTATGGGGTCATTCCCAACATCCATGGAGACGACAAGCAGGTATTACATATTTTGTTGCTTCTCATTTCTTGGTTCATTTAAGAGCATTTTAATGCAGCTGTGTTGATCATTTGTTCATTGCCTTCCCTTCCATAATGTTTGCATTAATCTGCTGGTCTTACTCTTCTCCAGGCCTTTTTCGGAGTGTTTGATGGACACGGTGGACGTGCAGCTGTGGACTTCGTCTCTGAGAAGCTCGGGAAGAACATTTTAACAGCTCTAGAAGAGCTACAGAAGGAAGAGAACCAAATGGAGCTGGCCATCAAAGAAGGCTTTTTGACCACGGACAGAGAATTCCTAAGTCAGGTGTGGCTCCCAACTGGCAAGTGCAGAGCACTTTGAGACATTCAACCCTCCCTTAACCAGACAAACTCTTTTTGATTTGAAAGTATTTGACCATCTGTTTGACATCGATTCTTTCGTGCACACCCAGAGATCATATCAAACTCTTCGATCTAATTGCTTATGAGATTTGTGACATTATTCAGATGACATCCACAGACGAATTAGCTTATGGTGTTGACGATCGGTATGTTTTCCTCCATTTGTAGGGTGTGAGCAGTGGAGCATGTGCAGTCACTGTGTTGCTAAAAGATGGGGAGCTGCATGCGGCCAATGTGGGCGACTGCAGGGTGGTCATTAGCAGGAAGGGAGTAGCAGATGCTCTCACCGATGACCACCGTGCCGGAAGAGAAGATGAGCGCAATCGTATCGAAAACTCTGTAAGCTCTTCTTCTTCCTCCCTCCTCTCTCTCTCTCTCTCTCTCTCTCTCTCTCTCTCT